GAACCTCGATGGGTCCTGGAAGATGGCCCCCCCGCTGTACCCACAGATCCACACTGCAGGTGATGAAGATGATGATGATGAACATGATGATGAAGATGATGATGATGGGGATGATGAAGATGGTGATGATGATGATGATGGTGGTGATGATGAGGATGAGGATGGTGATGATGGTGATGATTGTGAAGATGATGATGAACATGATGATGAAGATGAAGATGATGATGAACATGATGATGAAGATGATGATGATGATGGGGATGATGAAGATGGTGATGATGATGAAGATGATGGTGGGGATGAAGATGATGGGGATGATGAAGATGGTGGTGATGATGTGTTTCCTCCACAGACAGTCACATGAACCTGGATGACTTCATCAGTATGGACCCAGCTGTGGGCTGGGGGCGGGTCTTCAGTCTGAACCATTTCCTGCAGAGTTACATCAGAAAACCTTCATCATAGACCAACTGTCCACAGAAACAGACTATTACAGACCACTGCAGACTATTACAGACCACTACATCAAGGTCATATTGTTAAATGTCTGTTGTTGTCGTAGACTTGTTTGTTTTGTGTGGTTAACTCTGGTGTAAAAAACACAACAACAACAAACAGCGTCACGAACACGATCCGCTTCAACGACATCGATCTTTTTATTCTTATGTAGAATAAAACTTACATTTATGTGAACAGAAGCTGATGTCCTTTATGACGAGTTTTCCTTTGGGCGCCAGGGGGCGTCCTTATCACGCGTTGAAACGCAGACTCAAAACACTAAATGAACGAAAAGTTTGAACCTGACAAGTTCGACGTCAGAAAACAGGCGTCATACACAAGAACGGTCGGCAGGTGTCAGAGTTGAGCAACAAACGTAAAGAACACTGGAGGAGTCAGGAGTGTGTGTGACGGTGTGTGTAAGGCGTGATTTTCTTACGACACACACACAGGTGTGTCTCCTCCTCCTCCTCAGTTTCTCCTCCGCTACAGCAGACATGGAGGCGGACATCAGCGCCGAGTTGTTGGGTGAGTTAAAGTCCAACTAACCGACTGTAAATGGAGCTCATTAACTGTTGACTAACTGCTAACTGACAGTAAACTACCGACAGCGTCTCTGCTCTGACGTCACTTCAACGGTCATCGTCTTGGTGTAACCTCGGTCAAAGTTCAGTGAAGGAGAAACTCCGTAGAAAAACACAGTTAGTACAGAGTAACGGAGGAGGGACGTAAGTCAGGCTGAGGCGGTGAAGGTCTCTCTACCTGAGAGAGAGAGAGAGGAGAGGGG